AATACCAACAAAAAACCAAATGCAATCCAAAGCTGTTGAGCAGCTCATATAAGTTACATAATATCACATTCTTCTGTTCCAACAATGTCTTCGTTCACTCCACTGCTGCTTTTGTCAGTGACCACGTTTCGCAACCATATGTTGTTATTTTTAAAAACTTTTTTGAATTTCTACTTTTTATCATAGACCAAATCAAGTGCTACTCAGTAAAAAAAAATTAAACTGGAAAATCCTTTTGCGCAAATCACAAAAACATTCAAAAAAAGGAAGCTTACAGTGCAGAGAATCCAGTTGAAGATAAGCATGAAAAGATAATCAGCTGGGCGACCATCGAAGAGCCCAGTTTCTGTGTCACGTGAATAATTGTAGAGAAAATAGAGCATTAACAACCAATGAAAACCCGTAGAAGGTGAAAGCGGATAATAAAACAACGCTGTTACTGGTCGCCAAATCTAAATTACTATGAAAAATATCTATACAAATTCGAGACGAAGAAAATAAAACACTTAAACGGTATTATTTAAAGGACAGCAGATGCGCAGTGTTACATTCTTCGCTCCATCGTTCTCTCCAGTTATCACAGCCACAATTCGCTCTTCAACTCGTTCGTTAGTGACCACGTTTCGCATTCGTACGTTATTATTTTTGGATCGAATGATAACATTTTACCCAAATCAGGCCATTTTACTCAGACTGGGTAATTTTACCCAAATCAGGTCATTTTACCCAAATAAGGCCATTTTACTGGACGATAAGACTAAGATGGTAGCATCGCTTGGATGGCAAAATTTTACCAGAAAGATAAGATCCTATCCATTTCACTTGTTCTTACGTAAAGGGTTCAATTTCGCGATAAACAACCAAGTCATTTCGACTGCAAACTGGTACTCAGCCACAACACGGAACTGAAGTCGCTTTCCGGCATTTACCCGGGAAACCAAGCCATGGGTAGCTTTCCCACGGCGGGTAATTGCTGTTAGCATCTGCACCGCGTCACTGACAAATTGTTACCCACAAAAAATGCTACTTACCTGGAATTTGTGAAAGAAAAGATTCCATTCGAGCAGCATCAAATAGGGGCTGAATAAGCCGAAACGTCCGAGCAACGGCAAAACAGCGCTGCCCGTGAACCAGTATCTGGTGATCTCCGGTATACCTCGGTACCAGTCCGAGAATTCAGACATTTCGCTGATTCCTGAAAAGGGAAAAAATCTAACTCTTTCCCGGGCACCTAAAAAAGTATCCCAGCATCAACACCTGTCAAGCAGTAGCAGTATACTTAGGACGAAAATACAAAAGGGTGGAGGAGTGGGGAGGGGGGAGGGGGTGGGTTGAAACTTATAGGAGACAAGAACCCAAGAACATAATTAAAGGGTACCGAGGAATGCAAAATTCAGCCAAACAAGTGCAAAACTGGATCAAAAAAAGGTAAAAATTGAGGACTGAAGTACAAATCCGGCCAGAGAGGTGAAGAAACGGTTCAAAAAAAACAAAAAATCTCAAAGATTGAGGAATGAGGTAGAAAATTCGGCCGGAGAGGTGCAGA